TCAGAGCTCCAATGTTTAAAGGATTTGTCTAAAATTATTGTATATTTTAAATTATACAAATTATATATCGCTGCTTGCAACTTTTGATCAAACAGCTCATAAAAAAGAAATGCCCAAATTGATTGTTATTGTTTTATTGCAGATTTTTGATTGACATTTTTTATTATTTTTTTAACGGTCTTGATCAGAGGAAACATTGGTGACACTGCGTTTCCTCTGATGGTTTCACAATAAAAGCCACGCCATATTTCTCCAGTTGAGTGCTTTTAATATTAAGCAGCAGCTGTGGGAAATGCTGTTTAATACAGCTATGATAACACTGAGGCTGACACACAAAACAGTAATGCTGAACTACATGCATGCATTGTTTGCTGTGAATCCCTCGTGCTTTTGTGGGTAATTTAAATTCCGCGCAGGAATGGCGGAGTCCGCCAGTAACAAATAAATTTACTATATAAAGAGGTAATTACAGAATTTAAATACAATGTTATGATTTAAGTTGCCTGACGGATATGGTATAGGTTTCTTATTATGTCTTTCTTTCTCTTCCAACCCCCCACACCCTCCCAAAAGACATCATCCGCCAGCCCTCTGAAGATGAGATCATCAAGTTGGCCCCTCCTCCTAAAAAAGTGTGAGGTCACAACCCCCAGCCCTGATCTTTGCACCTTGATTCCTTCACTCCTGGCACTCCAATCAACCGACCAAGCGTTTATGACCAACCCCATCACTCCCCGACCTCACCCCCCTCACACCTACAACACACACCACACACATACACACACACACACACAACCAGCCATGCCACCCTCCTTGCACTAACACATGCCATGACACAGGACCACGCAGGAAGCCACCTACAAAGCAACCAATCAGATGGTAGCGATGCAACCTCTTCCCAAGATGAGGGGAGATGGGAAGCTGCGGGATAAAAAAAAGACAGTAGAAGAAGAAATCTGGAGATGGGCCGACAGTGTATGTGTGTGAGGAGAGAGGAGCCAAAGCCTACCCTCGATTAGATCGCTGAGTGGGTCAGTTCAGAATGAGTGTAATCTGTTAACACTGTTCAGTCTGTGATGCTGTGTTTATGCAACTGTCTGTGTGTGTGCATGTCAGTCAAATTAGTTAATTAGTTAAAACATTCACCCAAGAAGAAAACTTAAAACCCTGCCTTCAAAACAACAACAACAACTAAATGGTTTTACTTTTCAGAAGTTCTGAAAATGTCACAAAGCCGATAGATAACCATAGAGACAATTAAGCTGTGTACACCTTGTATGTACAGTGATACATAACTATGACTAACCTAATTCAGCAGTGCTTAATTGTTTTGTTTATTAAATTGCCTTGAATATGCAAAATAGCCAAAATGTCAAAACTGACGGACTGAAAAATACTATTTGGAGACTATATGACACATACGGAGTTTACATGATCAAAAACTATTTTAACATCAAACCTGCTGCTCAACGTGACACTTAAAAAGTAGTTAAAACTAATCTTAATCTCACACATATGACATATGTGACACATATGGTTCATTTCTATGAGGTGTGATCGTTTTAGTGTGTAGCTGCATTAATTGTTCAGCTGTATTTGTAATGTGAAAGGGATAGTTCGACATCTTGGGAAAGACGCTTGTTTGTATTTTTTCCCGTGACTTAATTTATTAGATCGATACCACATTCATGTCTGTTTTACTGTAAATATGAAGCCACCAGCTAGTTAGCTTAGCTTAGCATAAAGACTGGCTAGCCTCTTTTTTTGTAGGTGTTAAATAAATAAGATGTATTGTGTTAATTAGTGAGCTGATAGGCAGATTTAGTTACTTTTGGACAGAGCCAGGCTAGCAATATTTACCAATTCCCAGCCTTTGTGCTAAGCTAAGCTAACTGGCTCATTTAACCGCTTCATATTTAAAATACAGCACAAATGTAAGAGTGGTATTGATCTTCTCTCACCAAAGTCTCTGCAAAAAGGCAAATGAAAGGATTCCCCAGATTGTCTCACTATTTCTTTTAAGCCCGTATAGTTAATTGAAAAAATCTAGTTGTCAAGTTACTGTCAAAACTTTAAGTCAAACAAAATGACAGGACGGTCACTGTTCCTCCGCTAGAGGTTCTGTATGCATTCCCTTTACTCTTACGCAGATAATTATATCATGTTTTAAGAGCAAAAAGAAAAGTCTAATATTTTAGAAGATATTAAAAGTTGATTTTCATAGGAAACGCCGATATTTGCCTTTAGCTTAAGAGTCATAGCAAGTTATTTAGAGAAAATATTTAGATGGGAAAGTTATAGCAATTATTTCTATACTATGGATGTTCCCTGTCCATAAGTTCTCTTTTCATGAAGGGGACCAGTTAGCATGAAAGTCTGTTTTATGAGCTGGCTAGCGATGTAAATAAACAAATAATATATTACAAGAAAATATAGCAGAAATAATATATTGACCCACAGTGTGTTGTCCATAGAGGACACAGTGGCTCTAGCAGCAAATCTCCACCGTACATTCAGTCTCACCATGTCTGGTTTTGTAGCTAAAAACTTTCACCCTAATTTGTATCTAATTTGAAACTAATTAGCGTCTCTGTGACAAATTGAGATCAAATACACTCACAGTACATCTACTTTGGACTACATTAAAGAATACAGAAGTATATTTTGAAAGAGCATATCGGATATTATATTTACCGTGTTAAAATGTTGTGTTGCACGAGACACAGGGAGACAAACGCTAAACTTTCTTTCACCGCTTTGTTGCCATTCAATTTGTTGCACAGGAAATAACTGACCAGCTTTTGAGTTTGCAATGTCTGAGAGAGGACAAAAACTAAGGCCTCTGGAAATAAGTGCAGATGAAAGTAAAAGAAAGCCAAGAAAATGTCAAAGAAAGAAAGAAAAACATGGCATGTGATAATAAAACATGTCCTATAATAAACTGTATATAAAAATAGATTGTGACAAAGATCTCTAATGAACACAACCGCTCATAACCCACTGACTATGCCATTCCTGCCATGCACCAACATAATAGCTAGCAAGACTGTTGAAACTAAACTATAATAACTGCTCTTTTGAACACTGTGTCTCTTTTTTCCCCGCATTGAAGCCTTAGCGGACTTTGTGTTTACCCCGAAAAATTTTTCAGAACTGTGAGAGATTTGTGTGTGAAGCGGAGACAGACGCCGGCACACACGTCAACTTAATCAAAAAGAAAAAAAAACACGGCTCTCACTTTTTAAAGAGAGTGATGCTACTTTTATTCTGAAATTTGCTAAGGACTTCAGTGTTGGTGTGTACAGAATGTCTGTGGGTCTATTTCTGCCCCCATCTTTGTTGTTATCAAAGCTGTAGGATCAAAAAAATGAACCAACATCATAAAAATCTATCAGTTTATGACTAGTCGTTTCTCCCCTCCCTCCCTCCCTCCCTCACCACCAAACTCCACTCCAACCCCCGTGCCAACGACCAAGACTTTTATTTCGATCACAGTTTCCGTGATCTGTTTTTGTTGTTGTTTTTCTTTTGTATTGCTCGCCGTATATATTGTAGTGTTGGACTGATTTGTATCCTATGCATTTATGTCTGTAGGAAAACTCTGCACTGTAACATATCCTCCCAACAAATCACTTAATCTAAAGAACGGAGCTCTTTAATTGTGACAAGATCCTGATATTCTTGTGTTGTGTGGCACTTGATAAGGAGGAACTGAGCGTTTGTAGTTTCGGGAAAGAAAATAAATGATTGTTAATCAATGTTCATTGTTTCAAACTAGAAAAAAAACTTCTTAGACCAACTATACTGTAAAACTCACATTCTACTATTTTGCAAAGTCTTTAAACATTCAATAGTCCTTGTATGCCTGCATTTGCATGGCAAGGTTAAATAGCTGCAAACAGTGGACGATGTTAATTTGCATAAAACATCCAGTTAATCTAGGCCAGATCAAGCTTTTTATGGTATTGTTAAAGGAATATTCCACCCTTAAATACTTAAACTATAAACCAAAATTCAATAAACCAAAATTCTAATTTAGCCACAAAACATGCTTAGTTTAAGAGACACAGCTCTCACTACCGCCATCACTCTCTTCAGCTACATGTAAATCTGTTTTTTTGGGGTGTTTTCAAAAGACATACCAAAAACAGAATAATATAATACTGCGTCAACTATATTCCAGTATACGCACTGATCTTTTAGAGTTTATAACAGTGTTACAGTATTTCTGGGTGGATTTTTCCTTCAGCGTCCAGACTAGCCCTCCCTAGGCCTGACCCCAAGTGAAGCGGTAACTGCCCTCCTATAGCTTGAGCCTAAAGTGAACACAAAGAAGGGCCATTGCATTTATCACAGAGTTGAACTGAGAGCATTTTGTCAGCCAGAGGGAGGCAGTTATACTTACTGCTATGACCTGCGGGTAATGGTCTTCCTCAGCGTTAAAATGGGTGTGATTATTGGCCATAAATGTTAGATTGCCACTCAATATTTTCAGTGAAGAGTTTTGGTAATTTTACAAACCAAAAGGCAGGTTTTTTTTCTTTCCAGATCTTAGCATGTGTTTCCATTATTGTACAAAAATATCAGCAAGGGAGGATTTAGGCCATTGTATTTTATTTTATCATTTCTTTTCTTCTCTTTTTATTTAAAGTGCTTTTTGAATAGCAACTTGTGAAGTTAGATGTGCGTGAACAAGTGACTTTTATTCTTTTCTTGCTCTCCGAATTTCAGTAGGCAATGGACTCATGTTAACAATCGTGTGGTAGTTTGTCAGTAGTTTGTCCATGCAATATCCGTAAACATCAAAAAAGAAAAAAAATCCAACTGCGTGATGCTCTAAATGCTCCTGCAGCAGTTCCTGTTCGCAATGTATTCACTGGAGGGGTTAAAGTTTCTGTCAGCATCAACGTGGCTGTGCCGCACCCTACCCATTTTTTAAAATGTTTTTCACATACACTTCCTGTTTCAGACCCCCCATCAACGTTACCATGGTAACCGTGGCACAGCCCCTCTAACTTCATCACCAGGCAGATTATGTTTGGCGTTGCTTAGCGTTTTTTCTCTGTAGCCAATCGGCACATAATATATCAACATATCAGTCACAAATGATGTCAGATTTGGATTTCCATGTACAAAGTACATATCAACTTAGAAAATGCTGCAAAAGTATAAACCTACTAAAATATATATGTATTTATGGTGAATACCTGATCATAACCAATACATGAGTAGGCTATTAGATGAAGTAGGAAACGAAGAGGGCAATATGTGCGAAGGTATTTAGCATGTAATGCTAACAGTCAATTAAAATTAATTCAAACAAGAATATCATTTTCCCTTAAGGATAAGACTGTATTTTGTCTTTTGTTTAGATTTTTTTTTTCTTTTCATTTTATTAGGTTGTAAATATGTATTTTGAATATATATCACTGTGTTTGTTTTGAAATTGATTAATTTATTTAATGCCTATATATTGTTGTTTTTACGTATCCCGATTTTGTTTTACTAACTGGAAACAAATCAAGGGGGTGAAAACGTGACGCTTAACGTTCTAACGTTAAGCAGACCATGCATCAACACTTTTATAATTCATGTTATTCTCTTCATTTATGTTTTGCTGTTTCAGCTTTGGGTAATGATTTTCTGGGGGGAAAAAAAGTGGTATTCATTTCATTGTATTTACTGATATGTAACATATTATGTTTTACTGTGTCGTATTTGATCAGATGTGTCGTGGTCACTGCTTGTAAAATGATTTTATTCAGAGAGTTTCCAAATCATGACAAAAGACAAAAGCAGTCACAAAGTCATAATCTGCCATTTTGTTCGTATGAGACATGTTGTCACTTGCACATTCAAGCAAGAGCAGGAAATTTAGCGTCTTAAAATGTTGGGCTAGTTGCATGTAGAAAGTTCATGAAATCTTGACACCTGATTTGTAGATTATAGT